CATTTTAAATGCACCATGCAACCGTGGAAAACGAATCATTATTCTCCATGCTGGCAGTGAAAATGGATTTATACCTACTGCCTTGCTGTTATCTGCCAAAAATATCAAAGAATCATGTGCCGACTATCATGAGGACATGACCTCCGACTTATTTGAAAAGTGAATAGAGCAGCAGTTAATACCAAACATTTCCCCAAATTCAGTGATTATTATGGACAATGCGCCATACCATTCCCGACAGAAAAACAAAATTCCGAATACAGGCACAAAAAAACAAGACATTATTGATTTTATGAAGAATAAGGGAATGGAAATACCACAAAAATCAACCAAAGCCATATTATTGGATCTCATTAAAAGACAAAAATTTGAAAAAGAGTATGTTGTTGACAATCTGCTTCAGCAAAATGGCCATGAAGTATTACGTCTACCTCCCTATTACTGCATTTTTAACCCGATTGAGTTGGTCTGGGCTGCTTTAAAAAAAAAAGTAAGAAAACATAATCAGACCCCTCAATTAAGTGAATCGCTATTGGCCACAATAAGAGATGCAGTATCTCATATTGCTGCCACAGACCTATGGAAGCAGTGTTCTAGGCATATTATTGAAAAAGAAAATGAATATTGTGTTTTGCCTCCTGTAAATCCCGTTGTAATTCCTCTACAAGATGACTCTAGCGACAGCTCCGAAGGCGAGGATGATATATAAATACCTATAATGTAAGTCTGTATATACCTTTTTATATACCTACCTGCTATGTAAATATTTGCCTATGTCAAACGTTGGAATTCTGTAATTTTTCCATTTCTTAACTTTCAGTCAACATAAATTAAACTCCCAATATAAGTATTTTTTATCCCAAATCAAAAAAATAAGAAGATAGTAAAATCCATTTATTGTGATATAAAAACATTATTATTATCGTTCTAAATAAATGACCGCACGCCTATGATACGTCATGAAATTACAAAGACGCGCCGACCAAAGGTTTTTATGCTATTTCAAGTGACTTCAGATAAAGTATACCCATCTTTCGTAAATGTGGTCTCATCTGACCATAAAATTTTTTCAAAGAACCGTGGATCTTCCCTGTGTCTTTCTAACATTGTGCGACAAAAAGCAACTCGGGGCTCATAATCCCGGAGCAGGAGAGGTTGAACACGCTGTATGTGGTATGGATGGAGCACGTTTTTGCACGTTCAGCATGATGGCTGCCCAGCGCACTATGCACTCTCAGTGAGAGAGTATCTCGATCAAAACTTTCCAGGCAGATGGATAAGGCGGTCTGGTACAAAACCGTGGCCAGCCCGATCACCTGATTTGAATCGTTTAGATTTTTTTACTGGGGAACTGTAAAAGAAAAAGTGTACTTCAAGCCGATTCAAAATATAGCCGAGCTACGGCAAAGACTATTGGAAGCAGCTGAGTTTGTTAATAACCGTGGATTCGCTCGTTTAATAACCCGATCTTTTTTAAGAAGATGTCGAGCGTGTATTGCGGCTGAAGGAAAACAGTTTGAGCATTTGCTGTAAAGGTAAATCATCATCAGCAGCATTTTGACGCCCACTGTTGTGCAAACAGTTATCCTTAAGGGTCCTTGTGCGTTTTCATAATCGCTGTTTAATTAGGAAATTTTGAAAAATTTTCATCAGTTTTTCTTCAAATAAAAATTGTGCATAAGTTAACGAGTAATCTTCTAAGTGTTATACCATTTTGGAATCCTTATTAAATGCGCCAACTTTTAAGGTTACTTGCCAAACTCTCGTAGTACATTTTTTTCCAGTACAGCCAGTTAAAGTTGAGCAAAGTTTTACTTTGGAATACGTGGTTGGGAAATAAGTGGCAATTTTTCCTGAACGAGAAAAGTTGGCAGTAAGGTTGAGACACCAGTTTGAAGATGCATTATTCATCATTACATTGTAAAAATAAAATCCAAAAAAAGTTAATATTTGTAGTAACACGAGTTGACAGACTGCCGTAGGGTGTGAAATTTCTATATTTTTTTCAAAGACCTATAATTTTCAAAACACATACATAAAATTTTTTTAAATATTTTTCTGATAGCTGTTATGACTTTGCCTATCACCCGGTTTCGGCTTGACGTCGACTTCTGGGACACTCTGCATACAGTAAACGAGTGTATGGCTATGAATCTAACTAAAAGAACCTAACGGTAATTGATCACAGGGCATTTATTCATTGATCCTATGCTGAATTTCTAGAAGATGTTGTCTGAGATGCAGTTTGAAACGGATGTTATTGGTATTTGATATATCAATATTCCTGCTATAGATGTAAAGAGAGGCACTGCATTATACGTGAAAGATCTATAAAAGAGTGATGCTACATACCTACATAGGCATTGTAAAATGGTTTTGATGTCTTATATTGACATTATATATACTTGACCTAGGGACCAGCTTCTCTACTAGATATAGAGGATTCTTAGAATATAATACACGATTCAATGTTGTTAGGTAAAATTATTTGAACAGAGAATTGATATTAAGTCATTGTAAAAGCCTGAAACTATTAGATATCTGGTCAAATTTACGTAAGTTACAGACAAAACGGCAACAGTTATTTTGCAATCTCTGCAGGCGCATTTGAGTCGAATAGTCCAGGCATGGATAAAAAACTATCAAACCATAACTGATAATTGATAGCACCAAACTTTCAACCAGCTTTTTCCTAGTCTTGAAGTTATTGATGTACTTATTGGCATGCAGTACTCGCAGTTCCAAATAACACCTCTGAGATATTGTTTTAATATTTTGTTGGTATCAAACCATGTATCTTACAACTAGTTCAAAAGTTGTTGTTCATTCAAGAAGAGGGTCAGACCACTGCTCAAGTTTTCTCGCTTGTGTTCAGAACAGAAAAGCACAAGTTTCGTTTTATAAGGATTTAGTTTCAAATTGTTTTCTTTACAATTGTCAGATGCTGTTCGTAAGTCAGTATTGATTAAATCATTTGCCTGTTCCACAAGAGGTGGTTCAAAACGAAACAGAAGCTGCGTGTCATCAGCATAAGATTGAATGTGTGAGTAGTGTCGGATTTCAAGATATGAGCTATATAATGAATAACAAGGGACCTAAAACAGAACCTTGAGTAACTCCTGATGTTATTGTTGTTGCATTCAATTTTACAAGTAAGATAACTAAATTCGATATTGGAAAAAGCTCATATTTCGTGACATATTCAGCGTAAGAGAGTGAATGGGCATCCAAATCCGATTCTTCTGTGTACTTACGAAGAATAAAACGAATTGGCATTAAAAATAACAACGTAACGTTGCAAATATTCCAAGTTTTCTGCCAGTGGTAGACTCGTTTAAGTTTAACTAAGTAGATAATGTTGTATAAAAATACGTAATAGTGTAATTAGCAGTTAGCCATTATAATTACAGTATGTTATCAAGTTTTTTTCACTACATATGTACTTTGAATGTTGAGTACGCACTACGATGTACTAGCGGTTTACATGTGTTAATGTACTGTAAAAAAAAACGAACGTAGGACACTTTGTGTTTCTGAAATGACCTAAATAAGAGTTCGTTGTTTTGACACATTTAATAAAATACTCATTACCGGTTTGATGAAATATTGCCTCTTGCTAGAACTAAATGACCAACATATCATGAAGTACGGAAACTAAAAATTTACATGCAAGAATCCAGAATAGTCCGAAGTATCTCAGCTATCTCTACTCGGCTAAAATATTCTGATTAGTATCAGCTTTTGTACAAATCTCAAATATGAGTGACAGTCAGTATGCCCTAATTCCTGGACAGGATGAACGTGAAAAGAACGAATGAGTTGTTCATTTAAAACCTAGTTAACAGTGTTTTTTGAACTCCTTGTTCTAATGTACAAGTGCTGATATCTGCATCTTCATCGACCACTTCAAGAACAACTTCTTCTACTAGCGGTATTTGGGTTTGCCGCGGTTTCCCAGCATTTCTCTTGTGTCGTCGTTCTGTGCTTGCAAATGTCTGACGATTTGGATTTTGTCGATTCGGACATGATACGAGGGATGTCTTTTAAGTTTTGCATAAGGAAATCAAAAAACACGGATGGTGGTGTACCAATCTTCAGTAACAGTTCTTTGCTCATTAAGAGGAATTGTTGCAATATGACCCGCTTTTGACACAAATGTCGCGACCATCTTTTTCCAAACACTTCGAGAACGGATGACTTTTATTGGCTTTTCTTCACCTTGGAACACGCAAACAGCCGACTGTCGTTTATTTTCTGGTTCATAACAGTAAATCCACGATTCATCACCACTAGCAATGCTGTACACATTTTTTGAGTTTCCACCAATTAACCCTGGCTGCTTTCTGCTCGTCAGTCAACAGGTGGGATATCCAACGAGAAACTAATTTTCTTACTCCTAATTCTTCATGTAAAATTTTTTGAATTGAGGTCTTTGAGATCTTCAAGGACGCCTCAATCTCGCGATATGTCACATGTCTATCTTCAATGATGAGTTTGCGCACAGCATCGACGTTTTCCTGGGTGACTGCCGTTTTGGGTGCATCCACCCTGGGATCATCGCTAAGACTCACCTGTCCACGTTTGAATTCTCCATACCAACGGGAAATTCTCGACTGATGTGGCGCTTCGTTGCCGAGAACACAGTAACTCAGCAAGGCATTCTTGTTGCGATAATTGTCTCTGAAAGTTGTGATAAATTATGGCGCGAAAATGTTCTCGGTTTAGTTCCATTTTCCTAATGACTTGGTGACGCTTAAAAATTCGCTGTAGTGAGAACACTGCACGTATTGTTGTGAAACTTTGAATTTAAGTTTACTAAAGAGTGAGGTTAAGATTCAGTACTGACGTTCGATCCGCGCGGACTACTATGTTTCTATATGCAAAACTTGAAACACATCCATCGTACACGCGATCACTTTTTCTGAAACTACCAAGTACAATGTTGAGACACGCTGTATAGGAAAAAAGCTGTAAGTCGGCTAATGTACCTTCTCTTTTGCAGTAATAGCAGAGAGTTAAGAAATAAAGCAGAGAAACAGAGAAGAGACAGACTGAATGCATTTATCGGAGAATTGGCAACGCTGGTACCTATGGTGGCAAGGAGCGCGAAAAAGTTGGACAAAACCAGCATACTCAGGCTCACAGCTACATACTTAAGGATATACTTGAGTAAGTAGAACTTATATCCAATATCATGGACATTTTTACTACGGACGTTTTTTTGAAAACCTAGATTTTGTTTTTGTTTTGTCTGCGAAAGTTTGGGAAATCTCGAAACTGGAGATACTACAGACCAAAATATGTGAATTGACCTAAACATACCTTAGTCCAAAAGATTTTGGCATAAAACTCGTTATAGGGAGGTTTTCTAGTATGATAAACAAGAATCCGTTATTTTTTATGGCCAAACTTCTAGAGGGCGCCACTTTCAGTACTATTTCTGTAAATAACTTATTATAACTTTTTTGTGCTACTCTGTATACAAGAAATGACCGAAAAATCCTGTTTTCTCGTATTTCCACAACAAAAAAGGTTAACTTGTTAGAAGTGACTAGAGCTAATAGTTTTCGAGATATTTGTTTTTAAAAGTACCAATGCATTATTTGGGCCATGATGATAAAACATTTTTGTAACATAATAATTAAGTTGGTTTGGATAATATCTGAGTAGCATTATTCATGAAGTTTAAAGCAATATTATGACGAACATTAGAAACCATAGCAACCTTGTATAATATTCAGGATGTCTTAGAAGTCAACATCAAGCCGGAAACGGAGGATAAAATATTATAAAAAACTATTATTTTTCTTATAAGCTTTAGACTGCATGCTACACAATCATGAATTAATAAAAGTAGCGTTGACACCTCCTGTCACTCCGTCTAAGAAAAAATTGAAATTTGTAGTGATGGGAACTAAATCACAGGCTGTAGATTTTCCCGATTTTTTTAAGGCTGTAATTTGAAAAGTACACGACTTAGATTTTCTTTTAATTTTTCTGATAACTATTCCTATGCCCCGTTTCCGGCTTGATGTCGACTTCTGGGACACCACCTCACATTTTTTTATGAAAAACGTTTTGCTTTTCAGCCTTGAACAACAACAAAACCAACACAAACAACCAGTTCCCGAAGAACATCGACCAATTCCTGTTGGAGCAGTTGGTTTGCGATCAACTTGGTGGATTCCTATTGATCACCACTGCCACAGGCAAAATTGTCTTCATCTCACACACCGTTGAGAATTTGTTGGGACACTTACAGGTAGGTACTTTGCCTTATGGTCACATCGGGGGGGCCCCGAATGCCCAAAAGTCAAACCGTATGAGCGTGTTTAAAAAACGCTATGCTAGAACCATTATTAATACAACTTTATAGAAAATTTAGGTTTTCGTGTCGAAAGATTATCTGTCAAATCGAACACGGCGCGTCAAAATTAGTAATACATTCAGCGAACCCCATATCGTGTCGTACGGTGTACCCCAAGGAACAGTATTAGGGCCAATTTTATTTAATCTATTTATCAACGATTTTTTTAAATAAGTAGCGCCGTAAAGTTATCGGTACAGTATTAGGGCCAATTTTATTCAATATATTTATCAACGATTTGTTCAAAATAAGTAATGCGGGTAAAGTTAGCGGATGATACAGCTATTTCCTTTAAAAGTAACCAGTGGCATACACTAAAAACCAAAATCGTAAATGGTTTCAAAACGTTTATTAATTTCCTCTCGGACAGAACCATGAACATGAATTACAAAACAATTCCATACAAGCAGTGGTCTAAAAGAGATTTACTCAACCGATAAAATAAATCACTTAGGCGTAATTTTGGACTAACACTTTAGGTGGAGGAGGAGTACATAACTTCGGATGGCGAGATTTTATCTTGAAACCTGAGTATTTCTTTCAAGGGTTTATGAAGCACTGGACCCTCTCAATTTGACTCTAGTTTCCGAGATATCCTAACCTAAAAGTGCAAAAACAGTGAATTTTGCGTATGTTTGAGGTTATGTAGCATAAAGATTTTTTTCAAAATCCATGGGTATCTCATCGTACAAAAAGCTTCTTTTCAGGAGGATGAAGAAGCTTCAACAATACGTTAAAAACTTGTGCTCGGTGAATAATAGCTGATATTACAAATTTATGTATGTGATCATTTTTCCACCTAAATCTAACGAAAAAAAAGGTGCTCGAACAAGTATGCTTTAAAAAAGTATGCTTATTTTTCTTTTTATTACGGAAGATTTTTTTTATATTTTAGTAATTAGAAAAAAGTTAAGATATTTCCAAAATCCAAACAAATCATAGATTGAATGTCAAGTATTTATTCTATTCTTAAACGCAGCCATGGACTCATTTGAGAATAGAATTAAAAAAAATAGCTACACATTTTAAAAAGGAATGAAGAACCTAGATTGAGAAGTTTGTATTATTCATGTACAAGTTGAAAATCTGGTTGACCGTTGAAACCATCTGTATATTCCTCAACACTTGCATCGCCAACTCAGGCTGATAAAACGGATGATTTAAATCAAAAGCAAATATATATTTGTAACATAACCTCAAAAACAGAGCGCTGACATGGTACAGTAGAAAACTATGAAAATCTACAAAATTGTAGGACACCTTTATGGCTTCCTTGATTTTCATAATTATCTACTGTTCGTGTCAGCACTCTATTTTGAGGTTATGTCACAGATATCTATTTTTTGTGCTTTTGGTTTATATCTGTTTTATTAGGCTGAAATTTCCTACAATTCAAAAAATAATACACAACTTCACAGTATGAGGGCGCTGACACGGAACAGTAGAAATGTAGAAATACTTTCTGAAGGAGAGAAAAAAACTATGAAAATCAAGGAGGCTATAAAGGCGTCCTGCAATTGTAGGCGATACGGCTCCTTGTAATGATTTCAAATCTTCCAGCTTCTTTTCTGATATAGGTTTTCATATCTATACATATACAATATTGATCTTTTTAGAGTCAGTTTCAAAATCAGTTTTAACTAAAATACTAAATTACTGATCTTTAAGCACTCAATTTATCTAATTTTGAGTCAAGCTTTCACTCTTCATGATACAGTGCTACTTATTTTTTGAGCGGGTCAAATTCGCAAGCTGATGTTCGAGCTGATAAAATTGACGCAATTAGAACGTAAAAATAAAAGTTAAAAATTTCACATATCCAAATATTACATTTGACACTTACCTTAAAATATTTTTACTCTTGCATGCCAGATTTCTATGATGCCTGCTTTTTTTATAAGTTAATTGTTGCACATCGGATGGTAGCAAAATCTGGAAGTTTATCAAATGGCGCCTGCTCAACGTTACGAAATTTGGTAACATGTTAATGTACTCGTATTTTAATGAGATAAGACATGCCAACCATGAAACCTATAAATCCTCAGTATTAAAGATTATGTCTATGGTGTTTGGAAAAAAATAATTCGCCATGCTACATAACCTCAAATATAGGCAAAATGGCTATTTTTGCACGTTTAGGGTAGTAAATCTCTGAAACTAGAGCCAGTTTAAAAAATTAGACTAGGATTCGAATTCAGCATCCAAAAACTTTCGGAAAAGTAAAGCTTGGTTTCAATTTTGTCGTCCTGTATAATTCGTATACACTAGGTAGGACAAACAACTTTTTGGAAATGGAGCCAAAAGAAACTTTCCGAGTAATCGATCGCTGCTAATATGAAATTTTATCTCGGAAAGAAGGAATTGACTCTTGGAGTTTGAAAAGGTGCTGCAATATATCTCCAGCTACACAAAGTAGAGTACTATTACAAGGAATGCGCCTACAGAGAGTTGGACAGGAATTTCATTTCTTGTTCGTCGATAGATCGATAGTGAGCCATTTTAGTTTATTATCATTCGAGGAACGATCTAATCGATATTCTTCAAAGTAAGTTCTCGCAGGTGTTCGTTATGGTTTGTTACTAGATCAATCTTTTATGATCACTGTCCTGATATGTGGATCAAACGAAGGGCCTTGGTGAGAGAAACGGAATATGACATCATGCTAAAGCCAAAATTTACATTTTTCACAGTCATCTCTATGAGTATCAGATCAAAGGGCTTGATGAGTGAAACCTAATAAGCAACGTGACGTCAATCTAGATCCAATATGGCGGCTGCCGTTGAATAGCGATCTATAATTTTCATGGTCACCGCTATGATATGGGTATCAAATTAATGGGCTTATTGAGAGAAATAGATAAGCAAATAATGTCATTCTAAATTCCATATGCAAAATATCGGTTAATCATTATATGATTTATATCTATCGAAATTTTCTAATACAAGTAAAGTAAGTTTTATGGAGTCATCATAAATACTAAAAAGTAAAAAATAAACAAAATAAAATTTTATATTAAATAAATAATGATTACTGCACCATAGCAGAAAAACTAAAACAAACTATACACACCATACATATCTACACCATATAAATTTAAATCAGAAATATTTACTTTATCCTACGGAAAATTATGAACTGCAGTTAATATTAATATTTATCAAAAATAAAAGATCATCAGGGATTGACGAAATCTCTTTGAATATTATAGCTAAGCTTTCATTTGATGCTCTTGATATGCTCACAAAACTTATTTCTCTTAACACAGAATTTGAAAACATCAATAGTTATTCCTATTTATGAAGGAGGTCCAAGATTTACCACAAAATTAAGGACCCATAAGTTTAATTACTGTTATAGCAAAATAATAGAAAAAATAGCTGAATTTGGGTTAAGAGACTTTCTAAAACCAACAAAATTATAAGTAATCAATGTGGATTTCAAAAAAAAGATGGATGCTTTTTTACATTTTCATGTAGACAAATTGCTTACTCAACTAGCAAAGATTTCCTTTATTATAAGAACAATCAATTACTTTGCCTTATTCGATATTATTTTGAGATATATATGTATGTTCCCAAAATTCTTAAAAAAGTGCTTATTCTACAAAAACGAACTATTATTTGTGAATCTTAAAATAATGACTGGCGTATCATTGTTCACCTTGGAAACAGCAACTCTTATTTTAAAAATAAATCTAAATTTGAAACATTAAATTAAGAATTAAATACTAGACGTAAACTAAATCAACACTTGTAAAGGACTCAATTATTTATGAAAATGTACATGTGTCTCCCAGATGCTATCAAATAACTAAAAATTTAAAGATATTCCGCCGTGAACTTATAAACTTTTTAATATGCAAACCATATTATACCATGTGTGAGTCCTGCAATTCACCTATTTAAGATCCTGAAAAGAGTTTTAAGCTGGCTTTATCTTTAGGAATATTTGTATATTTATCTATGTATTTTGCTCTTTACAATATGAACTAAAAATACTAAATACATTTTTTGCCAATTGAAAATATTAAACGTTTTTAAATAGCAGGATTGAAAAAGGGTGTAAAACGCTTAAAAAAAGCTTGTTTTTAAAAATGTATTTTTTTGTTCTGAATTTCAAACCAGTCCCAGTAGGGTCTTCGATTATTTGTTATTGTTCTAGAAGCACCGGCGTCTTCATCATATAGATGACGAATATACTATAACGGCTTCCTGTGATGTTTTCAAGGAATTCCGCCTATAATTGGAACAGCATATTTTCTCAAACGCGCGACGTTCTTCCTATATCTATTTTTAGGTCTTTATATTTCAGAAAATATTCGCGCTGCATGCTTCTCAACAATAGAGGTGTGTACTTGGAAATAGCGAGTCAATTAAGTAACACAAATTGTGTCCTAGGAACTTTATTCAGCCAGGTGTATTTTATGGGATAGTTCTAGCGTGAACCAATTAAGGATTTCTGATGATGAACGAATGTTTTCTGAGTTGTCAAAATTTTCATCTTACGAGCTCGTATAATGATTGAAAAGGTGTCTCGTCTATAAGTATATGTCTCTAAGTAATTTTTTCAGACAGGCAAATACGCTGTCCGCCATGCTGACGGCAGCATAACCTCCCAAAATTTTAAACATATAAACATAACTTATGCAGTCTACAGAAAATATAGTAATTATTGTTATTTTATCGTTCAAGAATGTAAAAACCCATCAATAATGACCCCAGGAAGGCTGTGGATCAGAGTGCCCAGCGAATTAAATAATAATAATAATAATATTTATTTACTCTAAAATACAGGGAACATGAAACGAGTAAATAAATATAATATATCCATAGGAGGACAACGCCTGTGCATGGATCATATGTATGTTGAATTGCAAAATATAATAAAATAGAGAGAAAAAAGAAATTATTGGTAAGAATGGTAGAGCATTTATTGTGTAATATTTGAGATTATTTTATTAATTTGATTTTTCCCAATCGTGTTAATAAATTTTTTTAATTTTTTTTTGAAGTCTAATGTATTGCGTAATTGTTTTAAATTATTTGGTAAATGTTCGTACAATTTTGGAGCTATATACAGGTGACATCGTTTCATTAGGGATTTGTTTGGTTTAGGAACATTTTTTGCGCGTAATTTATATCTGGTTTTATGATTATGTTTAATTATGTCGTGTTCACTAATAGTTTTGTGATAATGAGTGATGGTATGTAAGAAGTAAAGTTGTTTAGTATCATATACTTGTGCATCATTATATAAGTCATTAGTTGGGTATAATTTTGATTTGCCTAACATTGATTTTAAAATTCTTCTTTGAAGTACATCTAAATCGTTTAAGTATGTCGTGCATGCAGCACCCCACACTACTATACCATATGTTATGTGTGGCTCGACTAAAGCTTGATATATTATTCGTAGATAATATTCAGTTAATATATCGGTTAGAAATTTTATTTTATATGCTATGAATCTAATTTTCTTTAGTATGTGAGAAATATGTACATCCCATCTCAAGTGGGGATCTAGATAAATTCCTAAATATTTTGTATCATTAACTCTATTGATTTTTATATTTTTATCATTTACCTTAAACCGAAGGTGGTTATATTTTGGTAGATGATTAGATAGTGATGAAAATGGTAAAAAATGAGTTTTAGTAAAGTTAATTGTTAATTTTCGGTTATTAAACCACTGAATAATTTTGCAAAAGTCATTTTGGATAATATCTTTTAAGTCGTTCCAATCCTTACCTTTATAGAGTATAGCAGTATCGTCTGCAAAACTGACCATTTTACCAGTACTGTTAATTTTGAATATATCGTTTAAATAAATATTGAATAACAGAGGACCCAAAATTGTACCTTGTGGAACACCACATTTAACAAACATTTCTTTACTATATGAGCTTAATAATTTTACTGATTGCGGTCTATTTGATAAATAATTTTCCATTAGAGTATACATCTTTCCACGAAAACCTATTCTTTCTAAGATTTCCAAAAGTATATTGTGGTTAACTGTGTCAAACGCTTTTTGTAAGTCCACAAATACGCATATCGATGGTACTTTTCCATCTATATTTTGGGTTATTTCATCTACTATACTTAATACCCCATCTGTTGTAGATTTGCCCGCTATAAAACCATATTGATTTGAATTTAGAATTTTGAATTTATTAAGAAAATTAATCATTTTATTAAGGAGTAATTTCTCAAAAACTTTAGCTAAACTTGATATAAGTGAAATAGGTCGATAGTTAGTGACGTCCGTATTATCATTAGATTTATAGATAGGTATGATGATTGCTGTCTTGAAAGCTGATGGAAATACTCCAGATTGGAAGGATTTGTTAATGATATAAGCAAGTGGTTCTGTTATTTGTTTGGCCAGTATCTTTAGATGTTCAGCTCTAATTTCGTCAACTCCAGGGCTTTTTTTATTTTTTAGAGTCATAATGGCATTGAAAACATCCTGATAGTCTACTTCAGTTAATACAAATGAATTATTCAGTCTTGTTTCATGCAGATGAATATCAGCATTTTGTTTGATATTATTTGCTAAGTTTCCTCCTATATTCGTGAAAAATTCTATGAACTCATCACATATTTGCTGAATATTGTCTGTTTTCTGTCCTGTTTTTGTTTTTATTTCGTTAATATTGTTTTTTGAATAGGATGACTTATTGAATATATCATTGACAGTGGACCATAGGTGTCTAGAGTCATGTGAATTATTATTCAATTGTTTTATTTAGTATTTTTTTTTTGCTTTTCTCAAAAGTTCTATAAATTTGTTTTTATACTGATATATATATATATACTTTAATATATGCAACACCTTCCTAATAGCCATATCTTCAGTTGTTCCCAAATTTGTAGGACGCCTTTATGGTCTCCTTGATTTTCATAGTTTTTCCTGTCCTTCAGAAAGGCAGAGCCAGATTTCTACTGGTTCGTGTGAGCTCTCTATTTTGAGGTTATGTTTTCCTTTTGAATCCTGACAAAACTTGATTTTCATCATCCGTTTTAAGAGCCTGGAATCTCTTGTGATTCAAAAAGAAAGCATAACCTCACTAAAGGAGTGCGCTAACGTTGACGCGAAGCTTCAAATACCACAGCATTTCTGAAGGAGGCCACAAAGGTGTCCTACAGTTGTAGAAACGACCCGACCCTAAGATTTGCTCAAAGGGATCTTGAATCTTTATCAGCTGTAACTCATATTTATTTTTGCGTATATCTCTATGATGTAACATTAGATAAAATTATTTTGAGGTTAGATCGCATCAGCTTAGTTTTGAATGACGTCACGTCTACATGATATCAGATACACTGTACTTGCATCGAAGTAGCTCAAAAGGGCTGAAGGCAAAAAATTACCAACAGTGAATGCGTCAATATTCGCCAAATTTGTGCTTTCTGTTTCTGTACAACGGCCATATTTTTTTCAATAAAACGACAAAAGGGATAACGTTTAACGTTGATTAAGAGTTTTTTTAGAAATATGAAAAGAACACAACGTTAGTCCACGAGTGACATACTGATGATGTTTACAATTTGTATGACGTCACCGTTTCAAATTAAACATAAAGAATTATTCTTGCGCTTTTAAAAATTTAAATCGATATATATCGTTTTAGAAGCCAAATACTGTAACTATTTATTATATTAAATGAGATATGAGTCAAGCTGTACTTGAAAAAAACCAAAGTGATGGTCGAAACGTCGTACAATAAACAAAAATTCAAGCATATACGTGACTTGATTCAGTCTGAGAATGGAGTCCTATGGACATAAAACCACAGCATAAGTTTCAGGATGTACACTATTTATTATTATTGTCCTGATTTGCTAATTCACCTCCATTTTTACAGACCGACCTTATGGGTCAATCCCTGTTCAACATAACCTCTCCCGAGGACCACGACCGGCTCCGCATGTACCTGCAGTGCGAGGGAGTACTAGAGCAGGAATGGAAGAAATACTTCACGGTACGGCTGAAGCGAGCGGGGCCCAGATCAGAGCAAGCCGTGTACGAACCTGTCAAAATCATGGGCATGCACAGGCACGAGAACGGGATTGGTACGCCTGGCGCTACGCCTGGGTCTACGAGTCCGACAACGAGTACTAGTAGTATCGCCACTACTGGTACTCTTAACAGTGATGTAAGTATTCATCAGAATATATTGGCAACGAAAGTGGAAATAAATTTTTGGCTGCTGTTGGATTCTGATATGGCGGAGGCAGGTGCAGTACAGGGTTGCCAGATATACTCAAATCGTATTATATTACAAGCGTATTCAGTTCGTTCGCAACGCGCATGCGCAAATCGTGTTTGGTTGTTATTACTATAGCCCGGAAGTTTTAGAATATAGAAACTTGGAATATTTTCAAAAATGTTTATTTCCATGCCTAAAAAAGGGCAATGCTATTCGGTATGATCCAATATTGGATGAAGCGATCGTCATAAAGCCGAAAATGGCACGTTTTGGACGTTCCGCTAGCACGCGCTTGCTTTTATAGTATTATCATACCAACAATACCCCGCCTAACAGGAATCCTGAATCTCGGGATGAAATCATAATACGGGATTGTGCATCTGTCAGACTAAAAACATAACTGGATAACATGGAATTTTGTAATCTGCCGAGTTTAAAAAATGCGATCGGTTAACGTGTTTTATATCGGGTTAATCAGGAGACTTTGGTCTTTCGTTTTGCGAAGAAAAATCGTAGTTATCTCGATTCGTATCGAAGAAGACAAAGTACGCCGAAAAATGGCTTGTCATCAGTACCTTTGAGACCCTAAAAATTTACTTTTTCGGAATTCTAACAGTCAAGCTCAATTCCTACGCTCAAAATGTTTATTTTCCACTCGCTATATAATTTTTATCTTGCATATATATAGTAGCAATAGACCAGGACAAAGCCGGAAACATGTAAACTTAGTCGAGGAATTTTAAAAAATCTGAACTTTTGAACGAAAAATGATAAAGAAATAAAAAAAAAACGCTATCCAAATGTCCGATGTCTGAGCTTTCTCACGCAACAATCGTTAGGTTCGTAGCTTTGTTATCTTTGGAGGAGATAGAAATATCTACCCTTTTTTCGACTTTAGCAGCCGTTTCAAAACGTTCTTCGTCCTCGTACTTCGACGGTTCGTTGCCGCTCGTGAAGCACCGACTTTCTAGCTTCCGAAACGGTATCGCTTTCCGTTGAAACCTTTCGCGAACCCGGAAAAAATCCGGAAAAACCGCGTCGACGTCGAAACGCCCCGATCCAGCCTCGAGAGGGGAAGTGAGAAGAAAACAAAAGTTCACCGCTTAATATTGACGATTCTAACAGTCAAGCTCAATTCCTACGCTCAAAATGTTTATTTTTCAGTCGCTATATAATTTTTATCTTGCATATATATAGTAGCAATAGACCAGGACAAAGCCGGAAACATGGAGACTTTGTCATGTATCGAAAGGTAGCATATAGTCGAATTTTAAAAAAACGAAACTTTTGAACGAAAAGGAATAAAGAAATAAAAAAGACTTTATCCAAATATCCAGTGTCTGGGCTTTCTCACGCAACAATCGTTAGGTTCGTAGCTTTGTTATCTTTGGAGGAGATAGAAATTGAATATCGAACAGAACGAAAATCTACCCTTTTTTCGACTTCAACAGCCGTTTCAAAACGTTCTTCGTCCTCGTACCTCGACGGTTCGTTGTCGCTCGTGAAGCACCGAGTTTCTAGCTTCCGAAACGGTATCGCTTTCCGTTGAAACCTTTCGCGAATCCGGAAAAACTGCGTCGACGTCGAAACACCCCGATCCAGACTCGAGAGGGGAAGTGAGAAGAAAACAAAAGATCACCGCTTAATATTGACGACGAGACCGATCTCCAGTCGATATTTAGATAACCGGCGAGACGACTGATAAAAAACTCTCCTTGCCACGCGAAAATCTACTGTTTTTTCAACTTTACCAGCCGTTTTCGATCGCGTTTCTTCATCTCACCTCGACGGTATCGCTTTCCTTTCAAACGTTTCGCGAACCAGGAAAAAAACCGGAAAAACCGCATTGACGTCAAACGCCCAGATCCACCCCTGTCACGTGACCTTCCCAGAAAAACAATTGATCACCGCTTAATATTAACTACCGAAACGGTATCGCTTTCCGTTAAAGCCTTTCGCGAACCCGGAAAAACCGCGTCGACGTCGAAACGCCCCGATCCAGACTCGAGAGGGGAAGTGAGAAAAAACAAAAGATCACCGCTGAATATTGACGACACTATACTCAAATAATATTCACGTAATTATCGCGCTCTTATATTGCCTTACTATCCTATAATGATCAATACTTAAGCGACCTAGAGCACTTGTTTATATGTTTTTTTGTGGCTTCAAGCCATCATTGGTTCTCGGAGCGGTCCGTCGGACCTTAGCTCTTTTGTCGTAGTGTCGGTTTGTAAGTCGGTAAGGTCTGGTAACTCAGAAACTGGACAAGAAAAAAGGAAGGAAAGGAGAGCAGGAAGGGAAAGAGCAATGAAGAAGAAGATAATCTTTTAAGACAAGGAGCGCTTAGGTATTGTTAAAATCACGTGACGGATTTTGGTATTGTTTTAAAATATTTGATTTTTGTAAGGATTTATGCTCCAATTTTGGTTGTTCTAAATTCATTGCCTTTTATGCTTGCGAACTTACTGGACTGTCTACTCGTACATCAGAGTGTTTCTGTGTAATTCCGCTGGACCTGTACCTTAACCTAGTCCCTTAGGTAAGGAAATCGAGGTCTCTGTGAAGGGTTTCGTTAAAAGGCATGCCATGGGGCGTCAGTTAACATAGTGTGCAACGTCCTGCTTTGCATTTGGAAACAAAACACCAAGCTGCACTATCGTAAATCATTGCTGGACTTACGACCACCTTAATGAGCTGAATCTTGTTAATCAAACTTCATTAATTTTTAACGTTTACGTAATAATACGTAAATCTGTCGTCCTTTAGAATTTCGACGTGGCGAAATAGCAACAACGTCCGATTTTGCTCCCACTAGATGGCGCTTGTCTGGTTTTGTGTCAAAGCTGTCAAACGTAAACAGCTGACCAATAATTGACATGTGTATCTGTTCATAACCTCAGATATGACGGATATGACCCACAGCCTGACTCGTGCCATCTGTTTCTAGCTTTCCTTATTAACCACTGAATACAGTTTTAAGATATGAAATTGCTGTTAAAATCGGATACCCAAAACAATGCAAACATTTTAACTACTACCAAATAAAGCCCTCAGCAAATTATGCCCACCACAAATGTCCTGAAACAACAAAATATCCCCAAACTGGGGTATAAATACCAAATAAGACAACGCAAATATTTCTGTTTTGTTTTTCAATTATTTTCACAAAAAAAAAGCGAATACGAAGCTTTGTATACTGTTTTTCAATGATTCACCTACTGTGATGAATAACATTTATGAGACTTTGTATTCTCGATTCTGATCATTTCAATAATTGCATAAATGAAAAAGTAATAAAAAATGAGTTTACGATATTTCAGAGAAATCTATTATCCTAAAGTGGGTTCTAAGAGGAAAGGCTTGCCATAATGGGTTGTATGACTATGCAAGTCTTTTAGAGCAGATGTTCTTAAGAATAGTTTAAAAACGACCATTAAAATTTTTGTTTGATGATCGCTGTCGATTTATATCACCAAGCAGTTATTAATCCATCATTATTAGATTAGTACAAAGCTGTTAAGTTGTTGGAACTGTGGCTGTCGTTATTTCGTGCGACAAAAAGTAGCTTTTGTGCTATCCAGACTATAATCTCGGTACTAAATTTCATCCAGATCTCAATATATAACTGACTGATTTATATTGCGCACTATTTTTGATACCGCGCATTTCAGTAGGTGGCGCCGTAGTAGTTGTTTAAGCCACATGTGTCCAATTCATCTTGAAGCGCTACACGGTCCCGCAACGCGTCCATATTGTTAAAACGTTTGACCTTACTTCTTCGAAGACGCTGCAGGTAATTCCCTTACTGTCACTTTCCAGCGCGGTACTGTTGCGTGTTGTAGAACTTCGGATTTTACTGGTTTTTCACTTGAAACTTCTAGAGGGTAGTCTGATAGATTATTTTAAATAAAAAAAAATTGTGGATAAAGCACGTTTTTCATGCATTTTTTTCCCCAAAAGACGTATTTTTATCAGTCATTTCTACCATTATTTACACCGCCATCTGCCATATGACGACGTTGACGTCTGTCCATATGTCATATATGAGAAGCGCTTGCCCGCGGTGTTGCCGGATTCGGCTCCGCATTTATGGAAAATGAAAAGAGTAAAATCTATATACAGTAATAGACAAAAGTATATAAGACAAATATGAATTTTTACCTAAATACCTTTAGAAAATGAATGCATACTTCATTGCTCCATAAACAAATGCGTTATTAGCAGAAAAACTAAATTCCTTGTTTTTACATTATCTGCAATGAACACAATACAAGTCTGAATATAAGCACTTTTTTATGAGGGACAAAAATATGGAGACAAATTCTTTTCAACATTAGTTTAGTACAGTTTCGTGTCAGAAGAGGATTAGTTTGTGCTCATCAAGTATTGTGGAATAAGTTGAGTGATTGTAAGACCATGCCGCGTGGTCCAGAAATTTATTTCGATGTGAAAACTAAGATCATTGAGTTATACAAAGATGGTCAACGTCAAGTCGACATTGCCAAAAATTTGAAGCTGAAGCGTAAAGCAGTTTGGGCAATATTGAACAAATATAAACAAAAAGGTATCTTGGAAGCCTCTAAGAGAAGTGGTCGGTCTAGAAAACTAAATGCTAGATCAGTTAGATTGATAAAAGTAATTTCGTCCAAAGATCCGTTTTGGGGTGCTTTTCGGGGTTTGGGATGGGACCTTTACATAGAATAGATGGCATTATGGATAAGTTTGTATACACAGACATACTAAAGCATGTCATGTTACCCTATATGGAAGAAAATTTGCCCATAAGATCAATCTTCCACCAAGATAATGACCCGAAGCACACTTCAAATCTCGCAAAGAAATTCTTTCTGGATGAAAAAATATCAGTTCTCAAATGGCCTTCACAGTCTCCCGATGTAAACTCCATTGAAAATCTATGGGAATACTTAGATAAGCAAATGCGAGATAAAAATTATTCAAGCAAGGATGAACTTTTTGCCGCTTTAGAACAAAAGTGGAGACAGATTGATGAATCTTATATCAAGAAACTTCTACAATGTCGATGCCGATACGATTCCAGGCGCTGATTGATAATTATGGTTATGCTACAAAATATTAACACAAACATGGTTGGTTTTCTATAAATCAATGAACTTTGCTTATTTTTTCTATAATTGTTTTGCTTTGTCTATATATTTTTGTCCTTCATAGTTCCCGTTTTTTTCAATTAATTTTTTATTGAAGGGATTCTAATGAATTTATTTATGTATAAGTGAGTATTATGCTATAACGAATTATGTATACGGGTTGGTGTATTAATAAAACAAGTAAAAAATTTAATACAGCACAATATTAATTTATCTATATACTTTTGTCCATCACTGTATGTACATTTATATGAATCAATGAAACACAAAAAGCAAAAACTGAAACAAGCAACAATAGCAAAATGAAAAGCGGTTCTTAATTAGTGTAAAACAAAAAATAATAGTAGTAAGCTAACACACAATAAATTGTAAATAATTTTAAAAAACAAAAAATAAAAACAGTGGTAAAGCAAAAAATACAATACCATGTAATTATAAAAAACAAAAAATAAACAGTAAAATAGAAAGCTGGTCTAAGTGATAACAAAAAACAAGAAGTAAAAACAGTAGTAAAATGAAAAACAATTCCATGTAATTATAAAAAATGCTTTTTATTTTACTGTTTGTTATGTTTTTTATAATTACATGGCATAGTTTCTTTTTGTTTTACTACTTTTTATTTTTTATAAGTATTGACGATTTATTGTTTTTTAGCTTACTATCGTTATTTTTTGTTTTATACTTTTAAGAATCTCTTTTTATTTTGCTACTGTTGTTTGTTTCAGTTTTTCGTTTTTGTGTTTCATTAATTAATATATGTATTATGAAATTTCCACCTTTTATATTTTTTCCTAAACGCGGAGCCCAATCCGGCAACACCGCAGGCAAGCGCCTCTCGTACATGACATATACACAGACGTCAACGTCATTTGGCCGATGGCGGTGGAAATAATGGTGAAAATAACTGCTAAAAATACAGTGTTTTGGGAAAAAATGTTCTAGGCAAGCGTGCTTCATGCACACTTTTTTCATTTAAAATGATCTATCGGTCTACCCTCTTTAAGTTTCAAGTGAAAATACAGCGAAATTCTACAAGACGCAACAATACCTCGAGCGCTACCGTGATATGGTACAAAACTTTCTGCCTGCTCAAATCCAACAATTTAACCTACAAAACATGTGCTTCCTGCGGGACAAAGCAACTTGTCACACAGCTAGGGAAACAATGAATGTTTTGCGAACAATATTTCCGGGACGTTTAATTTCTCGATTTGATGATGTCAACTGGCCACCAAGGTCACAGGATTTAACGGCTCCTGACTTTTCAAGGGAATTTTTGAAAAAATAGGGTTTATGCCAATAAACCAAATACTGTAGAGCAGCTGAAGAACAGTATTACGGAAGCGATTGAAAATATTCCTTCCGAAAGACGTATTTTATTTCATTTCACAAATATTCAACATACAAACCAGTCAGTTACGTATCGGCCACCCTGTATTGCTAGGAATAATCATGTCGAAAATCTCTTCCGCAAATGCGATTTGTCTAATTGTGATTTGCGGATATTTGTTTTAGATTCTGGTGTTTTTCGTGAAAGTGTGCAGGCCAGAACCGCTCCTTGATAGGCTAATAGAGGCCTCAAAGGACGAATATGTAACCAGGCATCTCATAGACGGTAGGATCATAAACTGTGACCAACGAATTTCGATAATCGCTGGGTATATGACTGAAGAAGTGGCTGGAAATTCGGCATTCAAATATATGCATCGGGACGATGTACGATGGGTTATCATCGCGCTTAGGCAGAGTAAGTATTCGCATTGATTAACGTTTTCTATCTGCCATTCAGCCAATCTAATACTGTATACCCGCGTCCTTAAAATTTTCCGAGATTAAATGAGATATCTTATCTATTTATTTATTTATCACAGCTAGGTTTCTCATCACCGCAATAATTGGCTTTAAATTCACTAACGTAGAAACGGTCAAAAAAAGAATGTTTAGCGATTTTTCAGAATGCTACACCTCAGTGAAAAACGGTCGATTAAAAACTGCATTTTGATGCTCCAAGTTTCTAGATTTAAGTTCTTTTGGCAACACGCAATTTTAAGAAATAAAAGGTGAAAAAATTTTCAAAATTTTTTTTCACAACCGGAATTTGAAAAAAATGATCCAATTAAGTCATGAATGGACAGGATAGCTTGTTTCTTCAGCCTTAATTTGCTTTTTTAAAAAACTCGAGATATCGAACCTTAAACTGGAATGAAACTCCTACACGAATCTGCTGCGACCTTAAAAAAATGTTGCTCTATTGCATAGTTTAAAATGAAATTGCATTGAAAAATATATGAATCGTATAAAAACGAAAAATTAATTGGATATACTTTCAATCCTGGTTGGGTAAACAAGAAAATATGCTTTACTTTGATGTGTTCAGCATTTGGATTTCTCGTGTTCACTAATATTTCTAACTTTCCAAAAAGCTGAATACTAAAAATCGCATCTCTTCTAGAAAACATAAAAAACGATGTCATCTCAGGTTGTTCGTAAAAGGTCCTTTAAATGTCTCAGGCATTCAAACGTTATTAGTGTATAAAATGGACATCTTTAAGTCGCTCTTTGCGAACTGGGAAATCAGCTCTACATGAATGCACACATTCAGCATTTACCTAAGCATTTTGTCATTATCATTATTTACCTATAAGGTCTCAGGTTGATGGTGAGAGAAAAAATATTTATACTTGTGGAGTTATAAAGTTATAATCGGGCTTTCTTATTTGCAGTGTACGATAGAGGCGAAAGCCGAGGCTCCTCCTGTTACCGATTACAATCTCGCAACGGCCAATTCATATTTCTGAGGACGTTCGGATTTTTGGAGATCGACGACCAAGGCACGGTAGAGAGTTTCGTATGCATCAACACGATGGTATCAGAAAGTGAGGGAATGCACTTGATCAACGAAATGAAGAAAAGATATTCGGCGTTGATCAATACAGCTTTGCCTTCGTCGAATCTGGTGAGTAGAATAGGGATAGTTTGAATTAAAAAATAATGTACAGAATAATGTGTATATTTTTTTAATGAAAAATTGGAAAATAATATAAAATTTTTAAGAATAGTATAGAAGCATCATATTAGACGAAAATACCCCTGGTTTGCGAAATAATTGTAAAGTCTGGTTTTGTTGCTGCATATTGTTCAAGGGGGTATTCAAAACGTGGACGCATAAAATGGGTACATAAATTTTTGTCGGAAAACTTTTTATTCGACAACAAAGGATGAGAAAACAAAATGAAACGACAAGGAAAAAGTTCCGACTAACAGCAAAAAAGCTATGGCCGAAATACGAGGCAAAATAACCACAACAAAATTGGAGTAGATTTGTCAAGTAGCTTTTGAGAATTTCTAATTATTTATCCCAAAAACACCTGTTTTCCAGCCATCACCACTAGTTTATTGAGCAATATACAGGGTTAGTTCACAGGGCATTTTTTAGCAAAATACACTAGTTTTCCTTGCCGATATGGATCACAAACCATTTCGGAAGATAAATGTTATTTATTTGCAAAAAAGGATGGGTTACGTTTTTACATTTCGTATTTGTGAGTCCGCTTTGTTTCAAAATGTGTATAGTAACGTATGTTTTTTGAATATCGTAGCGCATTTGTTCAATTGCTCACAAATACAAAATGTTTGAATTTGCTTAGACGAAAAAACGTAACCTTTGTTTTTCGCATAAAAATAACATTTATCTTTCGGAATGGTTTGTGATTCATATCGGCAAGGTAAACTCATGTATACGTATTTTGCTATTAAATACTCTTTGAACCAACCCTGTATATTTCTCAATAAACTAGTACTCATGGCTGGAAAACCAATCCAATTTTGTTGTTATTTAGATGTATGAATCCTACGGATTTGAAGAATTTCAAGTAGTTGCGTGAAATTATCGTCGCATTACCAACAAGTGCCAAAACCTGCCTTTTGCCTCGTTTTTCGGCCATAACATTTTTCCTATTAGTCGGATCTTTTTACGTGTGATATCATTCTGTACGTCTTATAAATACCTAAAAATATTATTTGAAGAGTTGTCTCGTTCCTCCCAGCGATTGAACCTCAAAAAACACGTTTTCTCGTTCTTTGTTGTCAAATAAAAAGTTTTCCCACAAAAATCGCTGTACCCATTTTATGAGCATGTTTTAAACACCCACTTGAACAACCAAGCTGTTCGTATGTAGATATAGTACGTTTTTGTTATTTTGTATTATGATATAGTGCCTGGTTACAGGTTGAATTTCGAATTTTGAATTTTAAATTTTGAATCTTGAATTCGAAATTTGTTTGGTGCGTGATCATAGCGCTGCCGCGCGGATATTGTCCTGAAATTGTACCTTAGCCAGGGCTCAGCTGTCCCCACGTGGTAGCAGATTTCATTATAAAATGCAAAATAGAAAACTCTTGATGTCAGAATTTGAACAATAAACTTTTGTAGTTCATGCAGTATTCTTGTAGCACGTCCCGAATGAGAAAATGAACGTTAAGCTTGACATGAACCCTACTCCGAGTTCACTATAGAGATCACAAATCTCACCATGTTCCCGCTTTTGTCCAACGGACGAAGATCGATTCAGTCCCCCCACTATGCACTGCTACCGGCGAATAACGCCAACTCCGCTCACCGAACTTCTTTTATCTCGTTCCAGGAAACCCTGACTCCACCTTCCAGCAACGACTCCTCCGTCGACCTGGTGGAAGACCCCGCCGAGGTGGAGCAAGCGGTGTCCCACCTGATGCACAACCTCCCATCGCCAGTGGTCACTCCGATACCTCGGGAGCACCGGAATGCTAAACGGCAAGAGTCTCACACTGAGGTGCATAGGGTCATCACGACGGGGGCTACCACAGTGACGGTTATGCAGCATAGGCATGGCAACCAGAGGCAGGAGGGATTGCCGGTGCCACCATCGGGGAATAAGGTAAGTTAATAATAGCATTTATTGTCCAACAGGATCTTTGTTAAAAATAGTGCTTAACAGGATTTTTGTTAATAATAGTAATAGCTCCGTCCTGTTGAAACCAGGTCTGCGTATTATAGCCTGGAAAATTCTGCAACGCTGGTGTCAAAAACTCTTCTATCATTGCTACATACCGCTCCGGAGTAACAGTTAATGCGCGACCTCTGCCGTCCTCAAAAAAATAAGGGCCTACGATGCCATGCGCTGACATAGCAGCCCAAACTGTAACTTTAGGGCTGTGTAAGGGCTTCTGGTGCTTACGCCTTGGATTTTCGGGGCTCCAATAACGGCAATTTTGTTTATTTACATGCCCGTTTAAATGGAAGTGAGCCTCGTCCGAGAACAACACATTATGGAGCGAAGAAAATCGATTCAACATTTCATTCGCAAAGTTTAGTCTCTGAATAGCGTCATTATCTTTTAATTCCTGCACTAACTGAATTTTGTAAGCGTGCAGACGTAAATCTTTCCTTAAAATCCGCTGTAAAGATGTTCTGGGTACGTTTAGTGCACTGGAACGCTTACGAGTAGACTGGGTAGGATTTTGACGAACAGACTGTGCCACAATGTTGATGTTTTCTTCAATACGAGTTGTCCTTGGTCGACCCCACCGCTGTTTATCTAACGTCGAACCAGTCTCTTCGAACTTAGCAACCCAGTTCTTAATCGTTTGAGCTGTTGGACACTTTGTAAAATTGTGTAAATTGTGGTATTCTCGATATTTACGCCGCGCAATGGTTGCCGAATCATTATTTTGATAAAACGCGCGCACACAAAAAGCACGATCCGCTCCAGTGAAACACTCCATGGCAACTGAATTCCCAGACACTGAAGATACTGCCCCCACCTCGCCCGCGCCGCTCACGCTCACCCGTTAAATTTTATTCAAATTTGAAATTTCAAAGGACTTATGGACCACCCTGTATTATCAACATTCAAATTCCCTGAAAATAAAAAACGAGTTTTTTTTCAATACCACAGTTTTTGTAACGACAAAAGTATGGAAACATTTAAGTTTTGCCGTATTTATTCGTTCTGCGATACTCTGATACTGCGTGCGGTAAATATTAACATCAGTGGGAATGGCAAACGTGAAAGAATTTTCAAAAGATTTAAGAGACAAAGTAATTGAATTGGTGTCAGAAATGTTGACGTTGCTTAAAGATTAAAAATGAACAAAGAGACAAGAATACGGATTAACAGTAACGCCGCCCAGGTGCGGAAGACCGAAAAAACAAACCGATTATGTTTTGGATCGCTACATTAAACTTAAACGTTTGTCCCATGAAGATCCTCGCATGCCAGCCACACAAACTTTCAAAAGAGTCGTAGAGGAGAATCATTCTGTCAGAACAGAGACTCTCGGTGGATTTTGGGCTTTAATGTTCTTACATGGTATTCGCAAACCCCGGACCTAAACCCTATAGAACATCTCTGGGAGCACGTTAAAAGACAGCTGAGAAGAAAAACTTAAAAAAAGGAACGATTTATTTGATTATGTAAAAAATATCTGGCAAAATATCCCAGCAGGCGTCTGTAAAAAATTGGTGTCTTCTATGAGCAGCAGATGTCAGGCAGTAAACAGAATTTTTTAGATCTGTTTGTTGAGTTATTTTGTATTTAATTTTGCAATAAAAATGTTTCCATACTTTTGTCGACTCATTTCGGTAATAAAATAATATGACGGTATTTTAATGCTAGTTTGTAGTACAAGGGATGTCTTTTAAGTTTTGCATATGGAAATAAAACAACACCGTAGGTAGTTTTAAATGACTTTATTGTTTTTCGAAGTATTCTCCACGAAGATTAATACACATCTGCGTGCGTTCGAACCAATTTCGTAGCAGTTATTCCACTCGTTTGCTAGCAGATCCAAAACGGCATTTTTGAATGCGTCGACTGCTTCTTCTGGTGCCTGGAACCTTTGACCACGCAGTCTGTCTTTAATTATCGGGAAAGTAAAGAAATCTTTAGGACTTAGATCGGGACTATATGCAGGATGGTCCAATAATTCCACGTTTTCTTCCGTTGAATACTGCCTTGTTTTTTGGGCTGTGTGCGAGCTTGCACTGTCTTGGTGGAGGATGATTCTTCTTTCGGGGTTGATTTTTCGAAGCTCGGTGATGACTTTCGGCAAACAAATGGTGGTATACCAATCCGCAGTAACAGTTATTTACTCATTAAGAGGAATTGTTGCAATATGACCCGCTTTTGACACAAATGTTGCGACCATATTTTTCGAAACACTTCGAGAACGGATGACTTTTGTTGGCTTTTCTTCACCTTGGAACACCCAAACAGCCGACTGTCGTTTATTTTCTGGTTCATAACAGTAAATCCACGATTCATCACCACTAACAATGCTCTACACATTTTTTGAGTTTCCGAAATTGAAACGGTCAAGCGTTTTTTGACACCAATTAACCCTGGCTGGTTTCTGCTCTTCAGTCAACAGGTGGGGCATCCAACGAGAAACTAATTTTCTTACTCCTAATTCTTCATGTAAAATTTTTTGAATTGAGGTCTTTGAGATCTTCAAGGACGCCTCAATCTCGCGATATGTCACATGTCTGTCTTCAATGATGAGTTTGCGCACAGCATCGACGTTTTCCTGGGTGACTGCCGTTTTTGGTGCACCCACGCTGGGATTGTCGCTGAAACTCACCCGTCCACTTTGAATTATCCATACCAACGGGAAATTGTCGACTGATGTGGCGCGTCGTTGCCAAAAACAGACAGTAACTCAGCAAGGCATTCTTGTTTCGATAATTGTCTCTGAAAGTTGAAATAAATTATGGCGCGAAAATGTTCTCGGTTGAGTTCCATTTTTCTAATCACTTGGTGACACTGAAAAATTCACTGTAGTGAGAACACCCGTATGGTTGTGAAACTTTGAATTTAAGTTTACTACTATGTTTCTATATGCAAAACTTAAAAGACATCCCTCGTACCACAGCAAACACAAATTGTCATTTGTATCGTCAAGACTGTAAGCAAACTATATGAGAAAAAAATATTCCTTAATAATAAAGAATAAAAAATTTGCACACTTTTTAAAAATTACTAATAATGTTTCCAAACATTTGTCCGCTACTCTACATATACAAAGTATAATGTTTTTTTATGCAGCCAAGTTTTTAATAAGCTGACAGTTTCTAACAATAAAAAAAAGTTTCTATCAAAAGGTCATACATACAGTACATACAACGCGTTGCCTACCGAGTTCACTCACTCTACTCTATAAAGAATTTCAAAAAAATATTGAAGCAGTTTAACTCTGATTTCATTGCCCAGTAAGTAGACCATGGCCATGAATAGGGACTCGTTACAGGTTTTTTAACTTTTTTGTTTTCATTGGGATTAGCAAATTGACACCAATATTTGTTGGGTTAAGTTGAAAAACGGTTTTTAGCGACACTTCGCCTTTTTATACCTTGTATAAATAAAGCCGTATTATTATTATTATTATTAGCTTCTTTGTCGCTCCAGAGCGGCATAGCTGCCTTTTTGCGGACCCCTCATTGAACGTCAACTTTGTGCAGGCAGAAAACCATCTTACCCATTTCTAGTCTAATGATTTTTTTTTTGTTTCAGCCGTTCCAAATAAAAATGAACGCCGCTATTAAGAGGCCGCCGGAGCCTGACGCGACTTACGGCACGGGCAAGAGGGTAAAAACCCCATTGCAGCAGCTGTCACCACAGCACACGTTGCTGCATAATGCTGCTCTCATCGCTGATATCAAGGTAAATATTGTATACTAAACCCTGTTCATATGGCCTTTAGACCATTCATCGACGTATGCTTCAATATGCCCAACCATTTGGCACTGCATCCCACTCCAAATCGCCCCTAATTGAGATGAGGCGTGTAGTCCGTATTTATTACAGCTTGCTGTTTTCACTTTCGCGGTGGTCGATTCTGGTAATAGATGGCACTTTGTGCTGTCTTATTTCAATAAAAAAATAGTTTGTAAGCACAAAAACCATATGCTCGAAGATGCACATGCAACGAAGGCATAATTTGCTGACTGAAACTTTTTACTCACTCGAAGACCAAACCCGGTATAGTAACAACCTAACGTTGCCAAACTTTTATTTAGCAAAATCTTGGACTTTTACGTGCACTATTCTCGCAACCGTTTACGATATTCGCTCGCACACTATTTCAGGTTCATAGGAGCATCATACTTTCTAGACACATACAAACAAGGTGTGGCGTAAAAAGTGGATAACCATTAACCTGCAGTAAGAGGACATCAAAACTATTCAAAAAATTGAAAATTGCGTCTAGTAAAAGTTGCATGGTTTTCGAGTTTTTTGACGTTTGTCAAATTTGGAGGAAATTGGTTCATTCACTCACTGTTTCAAGTCTCGTGATAACACATGAAGGTTTTTTCTAATTCGTGTTTCAACATGATTATTCTTGGATATGTCATTAAATATAAGTTGCCCTTTAACCGAGCCTTTCAAATTATTCACGTCTTGTTTAATTAGGTTACCGCAATATTGACACCACACGTGGTCAAACTTAGAGAAAAAAGTCATTTTTGCCGAGTTTTAAAGACTTTTTAAAAAGCAATTAAACCTGTAACACGGAAATGGCAGTTTATATTTAATGACACATGTATCCAAGAATACTATGATGAAAAAAAATGAGAAAAACCCTTCATGTGTCATCACGAGACTTAAAACTGTGACTCCAAATTTGAAAAACGTCACAATAATTGAAAACCGTGCAACTTTTACTAGACACAATTTTCAATTTTTTGAATATTCATGATGTCCTCTAACTGAAGGTTAAAGGTTATCCACTCTTTACGCCACACCACCATGCATACCTGTATATTCTATATCAAATATACCTATAAACTGCGACAGCCAGCGTTTGTTCGGTTTTCCATCTGTGAATGATGTCCACTGAAATGAACCATATCGCAGGACAGATATCCTTTCTATCGAATTCGTCGGAGTTTGTCATTTGCAGAAATTTCGATAAGTACATAGCCTACAAAAGAAAAACGAAAATGACCACGTTGAAACCAATTTTTGACAGTCGCCATCGGGGGAGAGAAGCCACCAGACACAGCATCCAAGCGCTTTTTGATTTCGTTGCCCAATTTCCCTTCCAGAAACAAGAATCGAATCACTGACCGATATTGCTCTTGTTCCATTTTTCTAAAATTCGAGAACACGCCCGCTTTCACATGCCTTAAAACAAAACTAAAATCCGATTCTGCTGATATTTTGACAGTAGTAAATTTCTCATGCGATAGTGGCGCTATACTTTGAAGTTGAGTCATTAATTTTCAGATAATGATTGTAGAAGGAAGATAAACCAAAATATGTGTAAAAAAATAAAAAAAAAATGTTACCTTGTTTTATAAAGTATCCTCCCGACAAGTATTTCAGTGCGGACCTGTATTTGATCGTGAGGTCTTGGAGCACCGGCATGCCGTCCCCTGTGAGGTCTTAAGTCACCTGATTCACGAGCCCATTGTACTACATTAACAAAGGCACGAGGGGTTGGTTGCACTCGATTGGGAAACCGATCCGCATAAACATGTGCCATTTTTTATTTCGTTTGAGCCACGCAACAGACACCACTATTCACTCACGCGTTACCGACTGACACTGACTGTATTCAACTGAATAAAATAATTGTAAAAACATCGTTCCAAATTCTTTCGCTTTTTTGTTTCCGATGCGATGAACCGATAAGGCGGATTATATCCGTTGTTGCCAAACACGAGCACATAATATTATTATTGAGACAGGGCGGTACTCAAACTTCCAAAGGGCTATAACTTTGTTACTTTAATTTTACCAGAAAAATGGTAAAGGAAAAAAACATTTCTTTTGATCAGATCTACTCACTGTTAAAATAAATGACTCAACTTCGAAGCCCTGTATGTCGATGAGACTAAGAATTTATCGGACCGCCCTCGTAAAACTGCTCGACCAATAATTTCTCACTCCTCAACCTAGGTATGTAATGCACTATATTTATTTTCAGCAGGACCAGCAGCAACAACCAACCCAACCCTCTCAACCAGACCGAGTGTACAAACACGACAACCTGCTCAGACAGAACATATAAATATAACAAACAAAAAAATGTATATGTATAGAAATATTTATGGAAGATTGATAATAATCATGAAAACATAATATATCCAAAAGACTGACTGATTAGGCCATAGTTAAGGACAACTTCAATTATTACGCAAAGACTTGTTAGAGAAATACGTTAAAGAAAAAGCGAACTTTTAAAGTCACGCGAGACAACGTGATGATGATGGAAAGAGGCCCTGGAGATGCATCGTTTGTGCAGGTTGGTCCTTAAATTCATAGTCTGACTCATTTGTACTTATTTTTTGTTTTCTTTCTTCTTTCACAACAATTTAAGGTTTGCTTTACTTCAGTGAACTTGAATTGATTTTGTATTAAAACTCTTTCTTTAGAGTATCTTTTGATATCGAAAGCTTTAGCCTAGAAAAGATTTAGCGGTCGCACTGAATATCTGAAATTGAACCAATAATATTCATACTTCCACAAAATTTTATCATTGCACCATTTGATTTTCATAGTTTATATCCCATATTCGTATGGTATAGTTTTTCTCATCGGATGTACCGTTCTTGATATTAAATGAACTCATTAGCTTAAAATAACGCTCAGCAGTCACCGCAGCAATTTTTTAAGTAAAACGATTTTATTTTTTTAAAGCGAAAACCATGCTTAAAAAATCAAGAAATGCATAATATTTTTTTGCGACTATTTTAAGCGTAATTCCATTGATCAATACAGGAAGTCAACAACCCCCTTTTTATATTTATTCTTACAAACATTTTTAGGTGATGTTTCGATAAATGCCGCCAAAGGAATACAGTGAGTTACCTTAAATGAGCAGATTTATGAATTAGGTCAGCCTGCAAGAATGTCGAACTTACAACCCTCTCTAATTTTGAATACAAGGGACAATAAAAAAGATACGAAAGGTGAAATTTCGTTTTTGCATATGTTGTTTGCAAATGATCTGTATTTTTGTCAAGCATTTCAGATTTGTCATCGGAAATGTCGATAAACAATGTGTGTCCATATTGGAACCAACTTTGCCGCCATGAAAAAATCTTATGAAGCGGTGGCGATTTATATTTTAGATTTTCAGTTTAATTATATGAATTAATTCTCAAAATATTGTTTAGTAGTAACAGGTATATATGTAATTTTATAAATATTTTTATTGATAGTGATACACATAATCTAAAAGTAAATTGTCCACTTTTCTGATGGCAAATCGGCAATCTTTGACGATTAAAACACTCAGCTGCACCTGATTATTCACTTCGTTTTAGAATTTTTATTATTTAAGATACATCAAAATGTATAATTTTTTGAATATTCTCGAGAATATATTATTATATTACACATTCTAGCTAAAAGCGATTAAAATTAGCGATTCTGTGATGAAATTTTTTGTTTTCTGTTATTAAGTGTAAGAGAGAGTCGTAGATAAATATTTTTATTTTGTACAAAATAACGAAGGATTAAGTACAATATGCGTGGCGTAAAAATTTTACAATATTTTTATTTTCACATATTTCTCATGAAAGCAGGGAGTTGTCAAACGATAAGGCAAAAAATTGGAAGCTATTTTATACAGGGTGTCCTAAAAATTGAGAGTTATCTTTACAGAGCATATATACATATTTTTCTAGTAAGACATACAGGGTGTCTCAACTATGCGTGGATGGAGTATTGCTACTAAATAAAATTTACATATTTACAGATTATTATGTATGGTATCTCGAGGCATACTTCTCAAATATTCCTAATTTTGAGAGACATAGCAAAGTTGATTTTTCTTATTTTATTATTACACATTTTGATAGGCCCTTTAAAAAGAACAAGATTGATATAACATACTTATGGGTATTGGTTATTAATTGTCGAATTAATGGGTATTTTTATAATAAAACATCAAAGTTTGACAGCCTGCATATCTGCTATGTTGGCAGGTGGGGTCGTTAATTTTGTGCATTTTTTTATTTTACTCAAATTTATCGATTTTTTTTGATGATCAATACAGGGTGGTTAAAAACGCAAAATGCAGTTTAATTTTCTTAATTCAACATTGTTACCGGTTTGTTCAAACGATTTCTGCATCGTCTATTGTGTCATCTATTACTTTTTTTTCTATCTGAAAAATCAACACGCCTTTTACGAGGTGAAATCGAATTTTTTATTGATAAATGAAAGTTAGTTTATGCCATTTATGTATGAAAAATAACTACCACTCAAAGATGCCGGGAAACTGTGTTTTCCTACCGTACGTAGGCGTCGATATTACCACGATTGGCGAAACTACTCATAGGTGGCAGTGTCACCGTTTTTTTTTTTTCGTTATTTCTGTTGTTCACTTTCCATTAACATTTTCAAGCGACACACATAATCGTTCTATATTTTGTATTTGCATCAGGATCTTTTCTGAGAGAAAAAGTGCATTGGGGTTTGCTTCCGACTTTTTGCTTTATCGTATATTATGTACAGTGTGTTACAAATTCATGTTGTTTTACAACCTGTAAGAGGTACGAAGTTCTTCAGTACAGGTCCCACCATTTTTCAAATTTTACAGTCGTTCCAAAAAATGGATGAGAAACGTCAAATAAATGTTAGCATTGATTATACGTGAAGATAGCCAATGTAATGCTGTATTCGCGCGTCCAAAAAAAATCTCAGCCAAAACGAGACATCGTAACATCATCTACAAGAATTTGCCACAGCTGTTTCTTTGTTTACTATACAGGGTGTTACTTAATGATAGGGTGTAATTATGAGCGCGCCGTCCTCAACCAAATTTAAGTAGAAAAGTTCACATATACGTGTAATTTCGAGATATATGATGTCAGAGTTTGAAAAAATGTTGCCCTTACAAATAATATTGACAAAATAAGGGTACGCTACCAAGTTATATTTTTTTCGAATCAATCAGATGAAGGTACAATTTTTTTCTTATGGTTTGTCGTATTTTACTTCGTTTTCGAGGGAAAACAGATAAAAACAAGTCGTTATACGCCAAAAAATTATTAAAATAAAATAAATTCAATTTGACGATGCACAATATTCATTTGAAATTTTTTTCAAATTTTGACAAAATATTCACAAAAAATGTTGGATATGACCACCTTTCGCTCCTATGCAGGCTTCTGCTCTTATAGTAACAATTTGTTTTTATTCTTTTTTTTTTTTTTTCTCGAAAACAAAGTAATGTCAAGAGACGAAAAAGTTGTATCGTCAGCTGCTTAATCCGAAAAAAAAACATATTTCCTTAAAAAATCAGTGGCATAATTTTTTTTGTCAATATTATTTGTGTGACTGCACACCGCGACGCCACTGGAATTCACAATTTTCTTCTAGTTAGTGCTAAGTTAGCCTCCGACTGCAATGGACAACACCGCCACAATCCAACAAAATTATCATAAGGATCTTTGAAATATTAATAAGAAACTCATTTTTTTCTAACTCTGACACGAGATGGACATATACTCATATGAACTTTTATACTCAAATTTGGTTCAGGACTGCGCCCCTGTAATTATAATTACCGCCTATCAGTAAGCAACACCTGTATACACTTTGAAAATGTCAACCACCATGTACGTAACACTAACCTTTCCGAAGAGTACATAGTAAATAGAGAAACCTCTGTGACAAATTCTCATAGATCTCATTTTATCTAGGATAATTTTTTAGACGTGCGAATATAATCATTAGGTTCGCTATCTTCATTAATCAATGGGGTAACTTGATTTTCACAATAACCTAACCTTTCAGGTGTCTTTACTACTCCTGTTTTACAAAAATGACTTCAAATCTTTTTGATCCTTGTAACCGCCATGCGAGATCCGGAATTTGTAACACTTGGTATACAGCATGTATATATATGCACATTTTAATTTGAAGAATGGTGCTTTATCGTTACGCAATGAATATGTGCAATAAAGTGAAGGAAAATGGTGTTAACATTTGTTCAACCTGGATTTCAGAACTGTACTTGGAAATATCTCGCATTCTGTAGAAAATATGGAGTTGCATAATGGTATCTAGTGTTGAACAAAGTTATCAAATAGTTATAATTTGTGCGCCTATACTCCGTGGAAGGTTATTTTATTTTGATTTTCACCCTCACTGTCCTAATAGGACGAGACCCCAGGGATGCAAAACCTAACGTCGATTACGAAGGCTTTTTTTGGCTGTGAATAGTACAATATACAGGGTGACAGGAAATTAGTGGCGGAGCCGGTAAGGGGTGATAGTATAGGGTAATTAGAGCCGAAATTACTATGAGACTCACTGTCCCACAGTAACCCATTCCAAGATATTCGTACTCAAAGAATTTTACCAAAAAGTTCTACTTAAGATTTTAAAATAGGTATACATCTTGAAAAATGGCTTTTCGGCCATTTTTTTTTTTTTTTGTTTTACAACAAAGATTATCTGAATAAGGAATACTAATAGTTTAATCCTGGTAATTGTCGTAATTTTCTGCGATAATTGCTAAATAAAAACTAAAATGAAAAAAAAAAAACACGGTGACGGCTTCTAAAACGTGGATTTACTCAAAAAAGTAACCTATAATTGTTACGTACAAAATAATTAAAAAACATCTACGTTTCGTTGCCTGTCGAATACGGTATTAAAATCTAAAATCGGTTCAGGGACCATCAAGATAGACGAATAATAAAAATGAAAGAAAAAAGCTGAATGCTGAAAAATCAATTTATTACAAAAAACATTCTTATTCATAATGCGTTTTCAAAATGCCCACCCTATTTCTAATACAAATTCGTGCTCTTCTCAGGACACCCGTTTTCACAACCCTTGAATCTCGAAGCTCCGTTTGTATTTCCTGCGCTGCGTGAATGATTTTGTTGCGCAGGTCTTCAATATTAGGTACAGGGACATCAGTACCATACACGATACTTTTCATTCGACCTCACACGAAGAAGTCCATGGGTGTGATGTCGGGACTACGTGCCGGCCATGGTATTGGACCACCTCTACCTATCCAGCGGTTGGGGAAGTGTTCGTCAAGCCAATTTCTCACAGCTAGCCTGAAATGCGCTGGACAGCCATCATGCATGAAGGTCATGTGTTGTCCTGTTTGTAGCCGCACGTCTTCCAACAATTCATGCAAAACATTCCTGAGAAAATCTTCATATGCTTCCCCATTAAGGTTTTGAGGCAGGAAATGAGGTCCAATCAAACGGTTATTGATTATTCCCATCCACACATTAAGGTTAAATCTTCTTTGTGAACCTTTTGGTCTTTTTAGGTGTGGATTACCCATGGCACGTTCTCTCCAGTAGTGAACATTATGGTAATTGGTAATACCGTCCTTATCAAACTTGGACTCATCAGTCCATAAGATCGTTCTCAGATAATTCCTATCTTCAACATCCGCATTGATTAAAAATCTGCAAAACTGGATTCGTCTCAAAGGATCCCCTTCTTCTATTACCTGAACAGGTGTGTAATGGTAAGGGTGGAGCCCACTTTCATCAAGAAGGTACACCTTCCATTGGGAGAGTCCCATAAGCCGAGCTACCATTCGTGTAGATAGAGTAGAGTCCCTTGCGAAGTAATTTAAAATTTCCTCTTCGTCTCCCGCGGCATACAGTCGAGGTCTACCTGCGTCACCTGAAAACAAAAAAGATTTGTTTTTATAAGTTTAAGTACAATGACTTTTGTTGATTTTTATGGTGCTAATTACGTAGCCGTTAATATTAGTCAAACTAAAAGCAATTATAGCATCAAAGACTCGCTGTCCGCGTGGTAATAAAATGTGGAAACAGGACGCAATCTGTTGGGTTGTCTGTCGCACTTACGGGCCTTACGGCAGGTAGTGAGGCACCACTGACGTATCGGTGATTATCTTTTGAAAAAAGCTAGCCTATCGAGCCCTGGCATACCGATAATTTATGGGTTTAACTTTAGTAAGTTGTATGGACAGCGACATTTGTTTTGCAATCCCACAATTAAAAGGGTACGTGCAAGGATAACAAAAAACTGATAGGAAAGGTTTAGTTTTATTTAGTTTGAAACGGATTTGATAAAGAATTTTGTGTAAACAAAATAATAATAATAATGGTTGTTCCTTACCTTGGTATCTTTGGACGGTTCCTCGCTCACGCACTCGACGGAATGTTCGGGAGAATACGCGTGCATCAGGCAATCGACGATAAGGGAATATTTCGGCATATTCTCGACGAGCTTGTTCTGCGTTTCCTCTGGCAGCTCCGTAATAAAAAATAATATCGGCGTATTCGTCGATACTGAACGATCGTCTTCTTTCTCTAACAGCCATTATTAGTCAGCTAGTCCACACTCAGTCACTCAGCAGCCAAATCGTAAGGAAAAATCAAAGTCGTGAAAATATCAAATCTGAGAGCAAGCGAGCACATCCGAACACAGTAAACCGTAAGAGCGGACTGAAAGGAGGAAGGGATTAGCTCGACTGCCCAACGACCGCGTCCTTTTTTGTTCTCGGATAGGCTCTATGGGTTTTTCCATTGATCATATCTTCATCGTTTCTAAACCGATTTTGAATTTTAATAGCTCATTCGAAAGGCAACGAAACGTAGATGTTTTTTCATTATTTTGTACGTAAACATTATAGGTGACTTTTTTGAGTAAATCCACGTTTTAGCAGCCGTCACCGTGTTTTTTTTTTCATTTTAGTTTTTATTTAGCAATTATCGCAGAAAATTACGACAATTACCAGGATTCAACTATTCGTATTCCTTATTTAGAATATCTGTGTTGTGAAACAAAAAAAAATTGGCCGAAAAGACATTTTTTTAAGATGTATACCTATTTTAAGATTTTAAGTAGGATTTTTTGGTAAAATTCTTCAAGTACGAATATCTTGGAATGGGTTACTGTGGGATAGTAGGTCTCATAGTAATATCGGCTCTAATTACCCTATACTATCACCCCTTACCGGCTCCGCCACTGATTTCCAGGTCACCCTGTATAATTAGTAAAGTGTGCATATTTGCTAGCTTGAAAGCGGGGAGGTGCCAGAAAAAAATGCAGATGAAGTTAAATATTTTGCCGGATATTCTCGTTATGTAAGAAATATATAAAACATGTCACCGCTTTGAAACTAGCAAATATGCATACGTCATTAATTGCACAGTCAAAAAATAGCCTTTATAAGTTAACTGTCAACTCTGAACATGGGCACTTTTATATTCGGTGATTTTTAAGGAAATCAGGATGATATAACTTTCGCAGCCAATGTAGGTGCGCAACGACGGAAAACGCATGCATGAAAAATTATCTTGCCAAACGAACTCTGAAAACAGACATGGTACTTTTCAAACAGACTTCATTTGTAATTTTATAATGAGCAATTTTAGGTAGACAACGTTTCTAGACACGTACGTTTTATACCGTACACTAGCCATTCAAATCCAAGATACGGTTATACTCTTAAGCTGAGATATTTAGTTCTTTTAAATCGTTATCACTGAAATAAATAGGCACCTCTTCGGATAAGCAATTTGTAGTTTATCTTCAAACTTGATATTTATCAGAACCAAGAATTATTTCATGTATCGTACATTGAAGGACGTCAATTTTTTTGTTCACCATCACTATTTTGTACAGGCAATTCTACATATAAAATTATGACGCATTCTGACTAACCGGAGACATCGCCATCATTGACCTCACTGGTCCACTGAGAAGTAATGTTTCCCTCCCAAGGTAAATAATGATAGAAAACACCTAGGTAAATAAT